CCCCCCCCCCCCGCCCGATGAAAACTAGCCTGCGGAATGTATCTGTTTCCTAGTCATATTTTTACAAAAGTCATAACAATAATAACAAAAAAAACCAATCAATCAGGATTTTTACGATAACTGCAGAAATTCTTGTGCGCTCATTGGCAATTGGCTTCATTGTCAATAAGCGGACAGACACATGAATTTATACTTTATGCGATACGTCAACGAGCAAGAGCGGACAACTTGACAATTTGTTATCGTAAAACACAAATTGACTTCGGTCTTTCATGCGTCTGTACTGTGATTGACAATGAATTTCCTCATAACATTGTCAAAGTAGTCTACGGATCCACTCGGCTATTGCCAAGTGGATCCACAGCTACTTTGACAATGTTATGAGTGTTATGACGAAATTCGTAATCAATAACACGACAGACGCATAAAAAACTGACGTCAATTTGTTGAACTGCACGCGCACGGGGATGGGGACTACAGGTACCTGATCAATACATACAATGTATGTGAAATGTTTTGGGGCATGTCTCTTGCGTGGGTACAATATGAAGTGTTCTAAGTTCCTGCTACATGTATTATTTATATTGACTCATATGAGTCCTGTTTTCTTGAACAAACGTTTCTGCAACATTGATACGAGAAGACGACACCATCCTGCAATGGAAGAGAAAACAGTTAAACATGGGTCAAATCGTCATAAAATTCTCTGAAATTCTTCAGCCATATGCCAATGGTTTTGGGCTTTATTTAACAATCAAAAACTAGCACGCTTGGGACCCTTTGAAAGTTGCACTTCACTTTTAGCATCACCAGGGCACTCTGCATTAATGCTCGCAGCTTACGTCCACAGGCTCACAAGGAATTTCAGGGATTATGACCAAAGAAACTGTACTTCTCGCTTGTTAATTGTTTTTGTTATTTAGATAGTGCAGAGGTTTAACAGACTTAAGTGGCTATGAGTACTATCTGAACAGGCACAGGGCTCGAAATTGCGACCGATACGGTCACCAATGCGACTAACATTTCAGCCTTGGCGACCAGAAATCCTGGTTTAGTCGCCATAATGGCACGACTACATTTCTCTGTGTTGACGATCAATAACGGTTATTTTCTCTATCATTATGTCTTTGCAGAAAATCATATTGAAAGATCTTCGTTTCTAATTACTGATTCACTTCATTGGTGTAATCAAACCAAAAACAAAGATCACAACCTGCATTGTAAGTCTTAATTCCCTTTTTTATCCAAAGAACCAAAGAACCGTCTCACTCTATTTTAGAAAAAGCATTTCTGGGACACGATCTAAATCGTAATGTTCATTATATTCACTTCACTGTCCTCATCAAACAAAGAGCGAATTTGAATGATTTGCAAAAGTCATCAAAGGTCACACCTTGCTTTGTATTTTAATTGTTTCTCTTTTCAGTAACTCAAAGAACCGTTATTATCACCCTATTTTGGAAAGAGCATTTATGGGGCATTCAACTTAGGAGGAACATCATTTAAAGCATCTGTGGCTGTACAAGAACTGACATTTACAAACCTTCACAAGCAAAGGAAAGTCAGTCCAGAAATTAATGTTAGGTATCATGTCTTTCCCAGTTGCTCCTTTACGATATTTATTGAAAAGAATTCCAGCTACGAGGTACACCACCAGTAAGGAGATAAAACTGAAAAGAAAAGAATTTCAAAATGAATAATTTGTTTTCAAGTCATTGTACACTGTAGGTAAGCAAAGATATATTTGATTCTCTCTAGAAAAGGTGCCACTGGCTTAAGTCGTAGCGTTGGAGGTTTCCAGTAGATTATCTATCAGGTTAGAAGTGGAACAAAGAATCCTGATTAAAAATGTTGAAATTTCATTTATTGGAGCATCATGAAGTACATCACAAAATATCTGCCAGTCTGCTGACTCCAAGCAATTAGTTAATAGAGGGAAATGGTTATGAAGCCCACCAAACATCAAAGGAGTCAATGACCATGTAGTTCACATATAATGCATGAGCACAAAACAAAAGATTGTGCATGGCTGTGGACCTTCCAACAAATATCAAGCCATCTTTGTTGAAACATTTCTAAAGGTTAGTTCCTCTGTTAGATTAGTAAACAACTCATGAATTGTGTTTTGTGCACAGTCAAGGCCAAAAAAGTGAACAAAAACATACAACAAAGAACTTTGTTCGGTTTCACAACCATGGACCCTCTATTAAGTATGCTCCAAGTCTGCATCTATTGCACACCAACTCTGTAGCACCTACATTGTATAGAGTAATCAGTACAGAATTTTGGAGTCAATCTTAAATTTCTCTTGAGCAGCTAGTGGAAGGAAAGTTCTATATCTATTAGAAAGAATGTTTACTGCATCAACATATTTCATTTCATTTTCATTTTATTTATTCCATTCTAAAATTACAAAGATAAATATAAAGTAAACAAGTAAGAGGAGAAATGGAAAAGGGCTCAACATATTGAGCATAATTTCCAAGCAAACTATAGCTAGGGAAAAAACAAGATACCATCCCCATTTTTGCTGTCGCCCATTCTTGAAACATCAGCTTTTCCAATATTCATTAACGCTGTTGATTCTTTTTTAATTACCAATTTTATGCTTTTGTTATTACTCATTTTTTCACCTCGAGCCCACAGATGAATAGCAAAACTATTCTCAATTCTTTAGAAACTTAAATCACTTTCAACTAAGGAATTTTAATGCAGTCAGGCTAATTGTGAGATAACATATTTTAAACATTTCAGCAATTAAAAAGAACTCCACTCACATTATGATTAAGATGCTTCCGATACTCAACCCAGATTGTACAGGACAAGCATACTTGGAGTGAAGTATCAATGGCTGAAAAAGAAGGAATTCATTCCTGTGAATAAACCCGAAGGTGGGGGGGGGGGGGGGGGGNAACAAGTAAGAGGAGAAATGGAAAAGGGCTCAACATATTGAGCATAATTTCCAAGCAAACTATAGCTAGGGAAAAAACAAGATACCATCCCCATTTTTGCTGCCGCCCATTCTTGAAACATCAGCTTTTCCAATATTCATTAACACTGATTTTTTTTTTAATTACAAATTTTATGCTTTTGTTATTACTCATTTTTTCACCTCAAGCCCACAGATGAATAGCAAAACTGTTCTCAATTCTTTAGAAACTTAAATCACTTTCAACTAAGGAATTTCAATTCAGTCAGGCTAATTGTGAGATAACATATTTTAAACATTTCAACAATTAAAAAGAACTCCACTCACATTATGATTAAGATGCTTCCGATACTCAACCCAGATTTTACAGGACAAGCATACTTGGAGTGAAGTATCAATGGCTGAAAAAGAAGGAATTCATTCCAGTGAATAAACCCGAAGGTGGGGGGGGGGGNTTGTTGTTCCTTTTAGGGGTCAAAAAAGTGGTTTTGGTACCTCTTGAACCTAAGGTGTACAGTCTCAAGGTCCACAGTGGGAACTTTTTCGGTACCTTTTAGGGTATTGAGCTGAATAAAATATAACAGGTGTGTTGTATTAGAATTGGTACCTCTTAAGGTCATGTTGCACCAGGCAATTTTTAATGCTGATTTTAAACACAGATTTTTAATCCATGTTACATGAGAAAACTTTGGACACAACCTTTGTTAGGGCAATGGTCAGCAACGGTATGTTACTTGAGATGATTTCTAATTGCAACATGCCAACTTCGGACAACAATGCTGCAGGTTTTTGTATCGCTTTCAAAAATTTGCAACATGTTGTCGCAATGAGATGTTGCGTTAAAAGTCACCTTGTGTGCCGTGTTACATGACATTGATTTTTAATGCAACATTGTTGCGGTAAAAATCAGCGCATGTAACATTATCTTAGGGGTGAAAAATTTCAAGCCACGTCCACAACACTGGATCTTGGTACCTCTTATGACTCAAGGTTCTTTTCAAAATTTCCAGTGAGCCCCTTTATCTTTTTTATTTGGAACCGCCCCGGTTCAAGATAATCAAGTTTGAGCAAGCAAGGTTCTACTGTAAGTGTCTTAGACTCAGCTTGGAAAATCTCTCATAATGTTACATTGTTCTCAGATTGCAACACCTTTGAAAGNCCCCGCCCCCTCAGGTAAATGAGCTGTATTTTAAACATGGTATCTGTAAAGTGAACACATTTAACAGCTCAGTGCTCCAATTTATACCTGCAATTTGTCTTTTGATGTCTCTTTTGCTGTAGATATTATTCCTTCAGTTCTATGCCTCCACACTTCTATATAGCTAAATATTCAATAACTCTGCTTAAGCTAGTATCATCACTAACAAGACATTGATGATAATAATCACAACCAATATCACAAATGGCATCCAAAAATGTGCTACAGGTGATAAACAGAAATGACTGGCACTAGGAAATTATTAAAATTTTCATCAATAATTTTCATCAATAATTCTCATCGCTCAGTCCATAATATTTTTCTTAATTAATTTCCCAGAACTTACCACTTGAAAATCATCATTCCCAGTTACTGGCGTTTTAACAGACTCTAATCTGCCCTCCTCATGTGAGTCACATTGCAGTGTGATATGAGTTGATGAACTGGTGAATATATGTGCATAGAAAAATCAGTCCCCATTATAAATTTATATCTAATTTTTTTAGTTAGTTATGGCATGATTCAGACATTTTCATTTGCTATTCATTGAACAGATTTTTTTAAGTTACAACCAGGTGCTGTAGTGACCTTGTTGCTCTATACTGAATCATTGCTTAATTCTCTTCACAAATTTTTCGTGCCATTTCTTTGGAGTTTCTGAATTATTTTGACCGACTTAAGACCTACTGGATTACAACACTGTACTACAAAACACACATCTCCATCTCCATCTCCATCTCCATCTACATCTACATCTACACACCCACTACCGTTTCTTGCCAATGTCAGTCACAGCAAAACAAATAACTTTTGATATATACAAATAGATCTAATAATTACATATAATCATAATATAATATTTACACTGTGCAGAAGAATTGCAAAGTTGTTATTAAACCTTGATGGATTGCCTGTGCCAGGAATTGCCTTTCCTGTAAGTGACAAGACACATGTTCCAGATGTTGAATTAAAGCTGAAATCTGCTGTCTCCTGTTCACCAATGCCAGCAAGCAGATATTCACCAAACTTGAAACAAACCTAACAATTGAATAAAAAAGTTTGGTTCCTCCAAATTTACTTTGAATCCTCAATGATCTTCAAATGGTCCAGATCACCAATAATTTTATTTTGTCTTGGAATTAAAAAAGACACCTTGTAAATGTTTGAAATTATAACTTGGACTAATTTGGTCAAGTGATGAAATGGCTTATCCACTTATACCTCAGCTCTTATACCTACAACCACATCAGAGAGTCTTGCGCCTTTGAATTAGAACCTTGATTTCATGCCTATTCCCACCAGCAGACCAAACGCTGAAAAATTTGAGCTTTACGAGCCTTAACTCAGATACTTTGAAAAAAGGTAAATAAAATATAGACTGAAGCAATACAAGAAAAAAAAAAAACACCAGTCCATGTACATGTAAATGATGCCACTTCCTTGAATTCTCCAATATAAGAAGGAAAAATTACTGGTGACATTATACTGGTGAACTGTTTTTCCCATCTGCTGGGTTAAAAATGATGTTCAAATGCCCTACATTAGGGTCACGCTAGGGAATCAAATACCCCTATCCCCAGGACGTAGATGTACATATGGCAGAAATGAGCCATTGAAGAGGAAAACATTCACCCCCAAACACCCACTTTGAACTTCTAGTGTGGCCCAAATATTTTCACAACCAAACCTTCCTATTTACCTTCGAACACAGCACAAACTTTTGAAGTCCTTTTCTGAGCCATAACATTAAAAACTTCATGCTTTCTTACTTCACCAGGAATTCAAGACAACTTCTCCAAATCCCCCCTCCCCCTTCCCCCCCCCCCCCCCCCCCCCCCCCCCCC